TGTATCGCAATACTGACCATCTCTGGATATTATTCCCTCCAGTCCCATACCTATTGTTGTTGTTGCTTTTCCTGCGCTTCATCTTCTGTCCACGCCCTAAGGTATGAGAGCCGTGCTGAAAGGATGACAGGATGGCTTTGTGTCATTCCTGAACGGCCACCAGGAGCCTTGGGCACGTGTTTAATCGCTTAACCCTAGCTCGTGGGGTAGACCGTTTCTCTTCCCCACGCATCCTATCGTTAGGCCTCAAGTTAGCACTAACAACAATCTTCGTTGTTACTTTACTCTCGTGATTTAATCAAAGGTTATTTCAGATAAATTTGATATTAGTTGTGATCATTGAAACTTCATGGCATCATTCTGCCCGATCATTCATCACTAATTCTGGAAACCTTATATTCTTATATACCCATATATTCTCTTATATGTCAATATCAATAATATGTTCATTCCTGTGTATCATTATCATCCAAGACTCATGGGTTCATATTTGAGCAAAGGACAAAAAATAACAAATCGCCCTCTGCATTAATTGGTAAAATATGGAATTCTAAGGGAATAAAACCACAAAATAGAATTCGATGGTAGTGAGGCTATGGTTATAGAAGTTGTGTATATGTAAGAGGTGAAGTACTTGTGGACGATCTTGGTGGTTGGTGAAACCAAAGGACCAAAATACCAAATCGCCTGAAACTGCCACCTCAGCATCCATACAACCGAACAACCAGACTTCTGTCTAGGTGACCTGGCACCTCTAGGGTTAACCTTCCTGTATGCAGTTCAGCTTGGAGCATCATTGACTGAAGGTGAATCGGTGTTGACTCCAGGAACTCATTAGAAGAAAACGGCGTGATTAGTCACAAAAAACAATATAAATAATCAGAGCTTAACTTTAGTATCAGTGCGAAGCTAATTGTAGATACCAGTTCGTCTATCCCTCGAAGTTAGTGGACAGCGGACGAAGGTACTATGGTCAAATTGTAAATATTATTACGAAATAAATGTTTTTTTTTTTCTGTACATAGTGTTTATTATCCCATTTTGTCATTCCTACAGGACACGGGGCAAAGAAGGGAACCACACCACAGTGACACGGGGTGAGCTAAACACAGTGGTAGGCGAAACAAAAAGAACACATACTTGTGAAATCACTCGAAGTACATCGATACGAGAAATACAATATCTATTAGGGGCTTAATGCTCATGTGCATCAGAGCAGTTAACTCCTTACAGATTCCCTTTTCACTTCTTCCAAAGCCATACCGATATGACTATTTCACAAAGGACTAAAATAGGTCTTACAGTAAACTCCCTTGATAATGTACCTGTACAATAGCAACGATGCTCTGTACGGCTAAGCAGAACAGCATTACCTTCATCGGTCGAAGCAACGGCTGGTTTCAACCCGTGAACTGACTCCCTTGATATTGCTCAATCACCTAAGCTGTTCATTTACTTATCATCTCGATACCTTTGGATTAAAGGGGCTTCATCACATCCATCTAACATATGATATCCGAAATCAACTTACAACTGACTTGTGCTAATCAAAAGAAAGGATGCAATTCTATCATAGGATGACCAAAGACTCCCACTCCATCCTCAAATTTTAGTGCCGACTGGATCGTCCATCAACTCAGTGAAGCAGCTTTCCTATTCTACAACTGCCCTTCAACCCTACATGACCGACCTACTGCTTTCTGGAACACCGAGAGTTTCCTACATATCGTCAGGCAAAGAAAAGATACAAGGTGTGCTGGTTTGTCCCTGTCCAGCAAGTTGTTTCCAGTTTCTTGCTAATCCTTTCAATAACAGAATATTCTTCTTTAGGGCTAAATATTGCTCTGGTCATCGTCTAACCGCCCAACATCATGGCATAGATCAGGTGTTCCTTTGGTTCCGACTATCTACACTCAACGGGTCGTAAGGTTCAGACAATCAGCATGGAACAATCAGGGCTATCCGCATCATTCTCTTTAATTTCCAACCATCTGTCTGCAATATAGGACACTTTTAAAACCATGTTGGTGACCATCCTGTTCACCCCTAATCTAATTAATTGATTAGCGTTGTTTGTGTCCGTGTGTTATCGGTGTGGTTGATTAATCATGCGGTCCTTCATGCAGCATGGTATAATATTCCGGTGGATATCTCGTGCGTCCACTAGTACGTCTACCCTGCTCGTCTAACTCATCTTGCTCAGCCTCATTGTTAATTCTTTCACTCCAAGTACTTGCACTCGCACTAGTTGCAGTCCCTGCATTTGGTGAACGGTCTGTAGCGTTTGTGTCGTGCCAAATATTATAAGAAAAAGGGTTTTGTAATCCATCAGAATCATCAACATTTGTAACAGGCAACACAACACCATATGAAACATTAGCTTTACAGCAGCGTTGGAATCTTTTACAACCACATCTGGTGCTAAGTCATCCCTTCCTTGACTCTTGAGCCCAATCTTAGTTGCTCTCTTAATTTTTTTTTTCTTTTTTCATCGTCATTC